AACATGCGTCATCCCACGATTCAGCACAACCTTTGCCGATTAACGAGGTAATCATGGCCATGAATTTAGCCGCCAAAATTTTACTTATACGCATCATCCTTCTCCTATGCACTTCATAATTTCTCGAACTTCTAACTTGCACTTTTGTTTTCCATCTTTTCTCTAATTCTCTTCGAACCAAAACCTTTTCCTTCCTCTATTCAAATGGCTCCCTATTTAAAGCGTGATATTTCTTCAAAAAGCAAGAACAAAATCGAGGACTCTACTCCTCCAACTGTAGGTTCCATCATTCCCAGAAGTCTTAACAGCACAAAAGACTTTGAAGAGAAATTTCCTACTGCTAACCCTCGTTCTTGGGCTGTCAGTAGGTATCCTTCTTCAATTTTTCCTTCCAGTATTCCTATTGTGAAGGAAGATTGCCGTTTTCATGAGTTGGACATCATTGCTCCTGATCTATTGGAGTGAGTGACCCTTCCCAGTGAAGGTTTTATATATTTTTACATATATGCACATACTTTGGGTGTGTTTTCTTTGAGTGGAAAGCTTGATTCCGTGATTGCGGAATTTTTCCTTTGCTACCAAGTATGCTTGTCATAGGTAAGTCCTTCAGTGTGGAGGACGGTTGCATGCCTTCGACGCTTGTACCAGGAGACTGGAGAAGAGCTAATATTAGCTCGTATGATGAACCTTTACTCCCCAAGATTTTCTGAGGGGGGGGGGTATGATAAACCTCTGCAAACGTGGCAACCATACTCTGTTGGCTAGAATGGATGATGATAACGATCGTAGGTGGACGAACGGTTTGTTGCAATTGCCACCAATAATATCATTCCGTCAACGGCTTCTTCCTTTCCGACCGCTTGGAATTGTACTCGTAAGTCCTCCATTTAGTATTTTTTTTACTAAATATTCTTCCATGACCATATTAATTCTTCATCCTTCGTATGTTTCAGCAACTCGATAGACCCCACCGGTGGTTGAAGGCTTGGACCGATGGGTTCAAAAGATTTTGGACGTTACGAGGCTCAAAATTCGTTTGTGGAAAGAACTGCCCCTTAAGTACGGGTGGAAGGCCAAAAATCATGGTAATTTTAAACTTACCTTGCCTCTATTTTTTATGTGAAGAACTTGGTTGAACCCTTCTGATTTGTTCACGAAATTAGGTCTACCTGCGGGCTCGGTTACTGTCCCCGAGGAGGACGTCTTGGTTGATCCTGCTGATGCAGTGAGGCTGCTTCAGGAGGCACTTATTCAAATAGGTATCGCCCGGCCTGCTTCGGGCACAAATGTTTCACCACGGGTCCGTGGCTGGAGAACAACCAACCAAAAAGAAGGCGTTCTTCCACGACCGGGGAAAAGAATAAGAGGGCGAAGACTATTGCCCCCGAGTCGTCTCCAGAAGTTGTGATCACTAGCCCTTCTCCCGGGCCGGTTATAGACACCATGGTGATCGACGATAATGGAGAAGCTAGTGATGATGGGGTTTCTCTACATAGAAGGCGACATTCATCATCAACTCAATAGAATGCTCCATCTGCTGAGTTAACTACATCAACCAAGGATGATGTCTCGTCGCTCTAGGGGGAGTTTGATTTGGTAAAAAATGCTAACTCCCATTATCAGGTCCCAACTGTTGTGCTTGGTACTGTAGGGTTGAGTACCGAGTCCTTGCCGTCTTTGGTTGGTGAGCACCCAACTAACAACACTACACTTGATGCAAGTGCTTCACACCCTTCAACTCCATCAGTTGCATCTCCATCTTCACCAACACCAGCAACTGCTACATCACTTCCATCTTCATCAACTCTTCCACCAGCAATTGCTACATCATCTTCGCCGGCCACACATGATCGTGAAGAGGGTGTTCCTCTTCCCCAGTACCCAATTCATGGGAATTTAGGGCAAAATTATGATACCCCTTCTGAAGATCCACAAAGGAGGAGGAATGTTACTTTTTTGGTCTCTACCAGGTGCAACCTGCTTTCCCAACCGGGGGAACTTGATAACTATCTAAAGCCTTTGGCTTCAGAAAAATATTGGGAAAAGGTTCAGGCACTCTCGGGAGAGTGTCTGTTGAACAATGCCATGCATAATGCTGCACCACTACGTTCCTTTCTTCCTTCGTAATTTCTTCTGCTTTTGTATGAATATATTCTAAGTTTTGCTTCTCTTGCTTTGTAGGTCTTTCTTGCTTCCGAGGGCCTTCAGAAGTTGATTCGCGAGAAAGAGGAACTTACTTCTAAACGGAATCAGCTTTTGGCGGAACGGGACTAGACTGTTCTCCGCCTCTCTAAACTAGAAACCAAAGCCACTGAGGCCGTTGTTTTGGAGGCTCATTTTCAGCAAAGCGAGCAAGAGGTGGTAACCCTTAGCCAAGAGATTGGCCCGCTGACGGTTAGATTTGATGAAGCCAAGAACAAATGGGACGTCGTTCTTGCTGCAACCGAGCGCGAGGCTACCACTGCTGAAAAAGTGATTGAATTAGAAGCAGCCTTGGACTCCAAAATCGAAGAGCTTGCTGCTATGGAGGCAAAGCATGCTAAGTTGGAAGAGAAGTACAAAAAGACTATCGAGCATAATAAGTTCTTTAGTTCAACTGTCTGCGACCTTGATGTTAGCCTCCAATCTATTAGGTCCACCTAGAAAAACCTCTCTGATGAGGTAACCCAACTCAAAGAAAAACTCAAGCGCTGAGAGGCTTCCCTCATTGTTGAAAAAACTTACGCCATATACAGCATGAGGAGAAAAATTTTGGAAGAGGCCAAAGCAGGCATCTTTGACTTTGATGCCAAAATTGCTAGGGCCGGAGAGCTTGAGTTGGCTGCTAAAAATGGATTCCCGACGCAGTCTGATGCTTCTGGTTCTTCTGGTTCAGGTTCTGAGTTTTCGAAAATTGAAGAGGAATCAGAGAATGATGATGCGGAAGACCAAACTGGGGAAAATGTCGAGCCATCGACGGGCCCACCTACTTTTTCCGGGGATGCGTAACACTTCTCTTCCTCCTGGTTCTGGAGATGCTGCAGTCTAGCTTTTCTTTTCTTTTTCCCATTCTTGTATCTTTGCCATTTTTGGAACATTTTTGTAAATAAAAACATATTTTTGCTCAAGTATTATTTGAGTCTTACTTTTGTTTTAGTATCCATGCAAGTCTTTAACTTTTGCACTTGCTTAAGAATTTTGCGCACATTTTCATTTTGCACTTTGCTATGTGTAGTCTCGGATGCACTCTCTTTGAAGTACTTTGGTTCCAAGCATTATCCCTTTACATGAGGGTTTCTATAAGTATTTGTGCAAGTTTACTTTTTTGCGTCCTTTCGTGTACGTCTTCGGGTGCATTTTTCCCCGATGGCATTTTGATTCCGGGCATAAATTCTTCTGATATCAACCCTTTAACGTGAGGATTTTCATAAAAGAGGGTCCTCATATGTTTACGGTGCTTTTGAAGAGGACGTCTCCTATTCATTACGACACTAGCATTTGAAGTACTTGTTTGACTTTCAAATGACAAAGTTAGTTCATCGTTCAGACAAGAAACAAGATAAAAACAAAAGGATTTCATTTCATTTAATTCCTTCTATTTTCAAAAGTACAAAAGCATTTGTTATACTAAAAATAAATTGTCATTACTTGTGGCTATCTTGTACAACTTGTTTCTATGGGGCTGGTTTTGCAGTCCCCGGTCCCGATGACATACTTATGTTTTTGAATTTTCGTTCCCGATCGACGTCTGTGTTATCGAGCAAAAGATTATCTAACAATCCTCTAGTGATTTGTGCTCATGAACGGTCAGATAACCTTTGCTCACTAGCAAACTTAACTTCCCAGTAGGAATTTGCTATAGAGCCAAAGACTATCTAACCATTCCCGAGTAGAAGCTTGTTTGTTTGCCTTGCTATCAAATGTCTTATTGTTGCTGTCTTCACAGTATGCTTTCTATCGCTGCCTCATTAAAAACCTAGCCAGAAAAACCCAATTGGGACAAAAACTGAATGAAGGGAAAAAGAGTTCAGCACATACTTTCATATTGGATATTGTTCATCAACAATAATATCTTTTGAGGTGCCAATTGTTGGGCAACTTGTCTCTATTTTGGTTCTCCAACTCGTATGAATCTTTCCCGGTGATTGCTGAAATCTGGTAGGGACATTCCCATGTTGGACCCAGCTTCCTCACGTTGAGCTCCCGGGTATTTTGAGTTACTTTCCTCATAACCAAATCTCCTACTTTGAAATAACGGAAATTGGCTCTCCGATTATAATATCGCTCCATTCTCTACTTTTGAGCTGCCATTCTTACACGCACCAAGTCCTTGCATTCTTTGAGCAGCTCTAAGTTGATTAACATTGCTTCATTATTTGATTCTTCATCTGCCTGAAAATATCTCAAGTCGGGTTCCCCTACTTGCACCAGGATAAGAGCTTCTGCGCCATACACAAGGGAAAAAGGAGTCTCTCCTGTGCTTGACTTGGCCGTTGTTCGATAGGCCCATAGAACTCCGGGTAATTCTTCGGGCCAATTACCTTTCGCCGCTTCCAACCTTTTATTAAGGTTTGAATAAACACTTTTTTGTTGACTTCGCTTGACCGTTTGCGCTCCGATGATAAGGTGAAAAGGTGATCCTCTTTATCTTCAAATCTTCAAGGAACTTTGTATTTTTTGCGCCGATAAACTACGGCTCATTGTCGCGTGCTATCTCTTTTGGTATTCCGAACTTGCAAATTATATTTTCCCAAAGGAAGTCGACCACTTCGCGTTCTTCGATCTTCTGATAAGGACCTGCTTTCACCCATTTATAAAAATAGTCAGTCAGAATTAAGAAAAAATATTACCTTTCCAGGAACCGGTGGCAGCGGTCCGACGATGTCCATCCCCCATTTCATGAACGGCCATGGTGATAGAATCGAATGTAAGGATTCTGTCGGTTGATGTACTAGTGGTGCGTAGCGTTGGCACTTATTACATTTTTATACGAAGTCTTTAGCGTCTTGTTCCACACGGGGTCAGTAATATCCTGCCCGAACTAATTTCAGCACCAAAGAATCTGCGCCCGAGTGGTTACTGCATATCCCTTCATGGACCTCTCTCATGACATAATTAGCTTCTGACGCTCCTAAGCACCGGGCCAACGGGCCTTGAAAGGATTTTCTATACAATTGGCCTTTCTTGAAGCTATAACGTGCAGCTTTGGCGCGTAATGCTCGTGATGATTTGGAGTCTTTGGGAAACTTCCCGTGCTCGAGATAGTCGATTATTTCATTTCTCCAGTCCCAGACCAAACTAGTCGAATTCACCTCATAGTAACCATCTGTATCTAGGACTGAATTCATTAGTTGTTCTACCGTCCCAGATTCCGATCCCTTGATTTTTGTCGATGAACCCAAGTTTGCCAATGCATATACTTCCACATTATCCTCCCTCGGGATATGAGTAATTGACCACTCCTGGAATCGTGCCAACAGATCCTGGACCTTTACCACGTATTGTTGCATACGTTCCTCTTTGGTGTCAAAGATCCCGTAGACTTGATTTACCACCAACTGCGAATCACATTTGATTTCGATGACCTTGGAGTCAAGTCCTCGGCATAATTCGAGCCCTGAAATCAAAGTTTCGTACTCTGCTTCATTGTTAGTTAAAGGGATCGTTCTGATAGCTTGCCTTAAGGTTTCCCTCGAAGGCGTGATTAAAACTATTCCGAGTCCTGACCCTTTTACATTGGAGGCTCCGTCCGTAAATAAGGTCCAAACTCCTAATGCCGATTCTGACACCATTACTGCCTCCTTGGTTGCCAGAGGCAATAGTCCCGGGCTGAAATCGGCCACGAAGTCAGCCAAGACTTGCAACTTAATTGCAGTCCTCGATTTATATTATATGTCAAACTCGCTCATTTCGACGGCCCATTTGGCCAATGTACCCAAGAGTTCGGGTTTATGGAAGATGTTACGCAAAGGGAAAGTAGTCACCACAGCTATCGGGTGGCATTGAAAGTAGGGCCTCAGCTTCCAAGCGTCAACTACGAGCGCTAATGTAGTTTTTCCAAATGTGGGTAGCGAGTTTCTGCTCCTGTTAAAATTTTGCTAATATAATAAATGGGAGATTGCAACCTTCTTCCTCTCAGGTTAAAATTGCACTTACCGTAACTTCTAAAACCGCGAGGTAGACTAGCAATATTTCACCTTCTTTTGGTTTCGAGAGAAATGGAGGGAGTGGCAAGTACTTCTTCAAGTCCTTCAAGGCTTTTTGACACTCCGGTGTCCATTCAAAATTGTTTTTCTTTTTGAGAAATGCGAATAAGCGATGATATTTTTCCGATGATCGGGAAATGAACCTGCTCAAAGCTGTTAATCTCCCTATGAGCCTCTGGACTTCTTTTACGCTTGACAATTGATCTGGGGTATCCTCTATGGCCTTGATCTTGTCAGGGTTTACCTTAATTCACCTTTGTGAGACTAGGAATCCAGAAACTTACCAAAACTGACCCCCAACGTGCACTTCTCGGGGTTAAGTTTCCTGTTATGCTTCCTCAGAATGTCGAATATTTCTTGCAAGTGCTTAAGGTGGTCACCTACATTCAAAGACTTGACGAGCATATCATCTATATATACTTCCATAGTCTTTCCTATTTGCTTTTCGAACATCTTATTCACGAGCTGTTGATAAGTGGCTCCGGCATTTTTCAACCTGGAGGGCATCACATTGTAACAATATATGGTGAAATTCGTTGTAAACGAAGTTTATTCCTGATCTTTCGTGTTCATCTTGATTTTGTTTTACCCGTAATAAGCATAGAGGAAACTCATTAACTCGTGCCCGGCCGTGGCATCAATCATTTGATCGATATTTGGCAATGTGAACGAGTCTTTCAGGAACGCCTTATTAAGATCCTTATAGTCTATGCACATGAAAAATTTATTGTTTTCCTTAGGAACTATTACTACATTAGCTAGCCAGTGCGAATATCTTACCTCTCAGATTGAATCGATATTGAGTAAGCGGGTTACCTCTTCTTTGAGGAATTTATTCCTGGCTTCAACAATAGGGCGCTTGTTTTGTCTTATCGGAGGTATGTTGGGATCCAAGCTTAACTTGTGCACGACTACCTCCATCGGGATACCTGTCATATCCTTGTGCGACCATGCAAAATAATCGGCCTTAATTTTAAGAAATTCAATAAAAGCATACCTGAGCTCTAGGTGCAGTCCTGTTCCCAAATGGAATTTCCTTTCCAGGAATTCTTCGAACAGCGCAACTTGCTCCAGTTCTTCCGCCGTGGACTTCGTTGCGTCCGTCTCTTCTGGAACTTGGAAATACCTTGGCACCTGATACTGTTCCGATTCCTCTGTCCCTGGGCTAACTTCCTCTGATTCGGGGGTAGGCGCTGGTTCCTATAATTGCTATGCCACGCTCCTTTCCTTTGCTACTGGAGACCGAAATTGAATTCATCTCCCGTGCTGCCGGTTGATCACCCCTTATCTGCTTGATCCCCTGGGGTGTCGAAAATTTCAACAATTGGTGATAAGTTGAAGGCAAAGCTTTCATATCGTGTAAACACGACCTTCCCAGGATGATATTGTAGCCCATGTATCCGTCTGCAACTTTGAAGAGAGTTGTTTTCATTACTCCATCAGCGTTCGTGAGCAGCAAAATCTTTCCCCAAGTTGTAACGCTCGCGAGGTTGAATCCAGCGAGGAGCTTTGTTGTCAAAATAATGCTTTGGTGTGAGTTTAGCTTGTTCCAGTACTCTCCATTGTATAATATTAGCTGAAATTCCTGGATCTACTAGAACACGTTTAATCTTAAAATCTAATACATTTAAAGAAATTACTAGTGTATCGTTTTGTAGTACCAGCAATCCGTCTGCATCTTCCTCCGTAAAAGTGATATCGTCTTCCCGAAGCCTTTTACTATGAGTTATTGATACTTTTGTCTTCTTTGCTGCCGAAAAGGTGACCCCATTAATCTCATTCCCTCCGAATATCATGTTGATCGTTTGGCGCAAGGGTGGTTCTTCTCCTGCTTTCGAGGGATCCGCGTTGTCTCTGTTATGACTATAGTTTTTCTTAGCTCAGTCACTCAAGAATTCTCTGAAGTGACCATTTTTAAACAGTGTTGCCACTTCTTCCCGGAGAGAGCGGCAGTCCCCTGTCCGGTGGCCGTTTGTCCTATGGTATTCACACCATAATTTGGTATCCCTCTGTCCGGGATCAGATCTCATTGGTCTTGGGAACCATGCCTCTTTGATGTTTCTCATGGCTGATATCAATTCCAATATACTGACGTTGAAGTTATATTCTGATAACCTAGGGTAAGAAGGATCCCGCGACTCTGACGTTTCCTTATCCTACATCGATCTGTTGTTCCGGCCACGATCGGTCCTTCTGTCAAAGGCAAACTTGTCTGCTGTCTGGAAGCCTCTGCCACGACCTTCGATTCGTTCGTATGGCAAAAACCAGCCCCTCGTTGTCCACCTATCCGCGTCGTAGTCATCTTTTAATTTTTCTTTATTCTTCTCCCGTCCTTTGGCCGACGAGGGAAAGCCAACTTAATTATCTTCGATTCTTATCTTTGACTCATACCGGTTGTGGACATCTGCCCAAGTCGTTGCTTGAAACTCGAGCAGACTTTCCTTTAGCTTCCGGGAAGCGTCTGAACTTCTCGGATTCTATCCTTTGGTGAACTCTTCAGCTGCCCATTCATCTGGGACAGCCGGTAGTAACATTCTTTCCTTCTGGAATCGGGTAACGAACTCTCATAATAATTTGAATTCTCCTTGCGCGATCCTGAATATATCGGCCTTCCGGGCTTATCTTTTCTGGCCTCGGCATGGGCCTTGATGAAAGAATCCTCGAGCATCTCAAAAGAATCTATGAAATGCTCTGGTAATAATGAATACCACGTCAAAGCTCCCCTTGTGAGAGTTTCTCCAAATTTCTTTAATAACACGAATTCAATTTCGTGAGGAACTAGATTATTTCCTTTTACCGCCATTGTGTAGGTGGTAATATGCTCTTGAGAGTCTTAAGCTTCGTCATACTTTGGCACTTCAGGAATTTTAAACTGCTTCGGAATTAATTCTGGTGCAACACTCGGCTTGTATGACGATTGGGTATATTTCTCCGAGTCTGGACCTTTCAATACTGGTGGCACGCCCGGGATTTGGTCCATGCGGGAGTTTACTTCCCTCATAAACGGTAAAATTTCATTCTTGAAAGGATCGTTCTCGTTATTGAGACCTGATCCGCTCCCCCCAGCCCCGTCAGAGCCAACTTCACCCCTGGAAGTGTTGATGTCGATCCTCTGCATTGTTCTGTTTGTTGGAACACCGGGAGGAATTGAATTTCGTCTTTTTGCATTATCCGAAGCCCCCGACAGTGCCTGCTTTAACTCCGTCATAACCTTGTCTTGCCGCGTGAGATGGCCTGAAATGATCGCTTGTTGCTCTTGCAAAACCCTAACCGCGTCGGTGACTTGCTCCTCATCAGCATCATCGGGAGTCATCTCCCGAACATGTCGAGGATACTGTCTGTCATGCACTGGTGTGACGTCATTTTCCTCGTTGTGGGTGTCACTGATTGAGTCCTCAAAGTGAGGCTGCTCTCCTTGAACCTCGGGGTTATACGTGTTGTTAATAGCGTTATCTGCCATTTCTTATGATTTTTTTCTAAGACAAAAATACTCAAAGCACGTTAGTAAAAAAGGCAAGGATCAATTTAATTGCACGTTTGTCTAGGACTCATAGTGGGCGCCAAATTATTTATCTATAAAACGGAACAATTGAATTTATACGTGGTTTCTAGACAAGCGAACTAATTTGATCCTGAAATAATGAAATAACTGAAGAAATATACAATAATTAGCCTTAAAATGTAGATGAAATAGCAGAATTGACGAATCCGGGAACAAGGTTTCCGGATACAGCAATGATAAGATCAAAAGCAAGAAAGTAAAACTGTATTAAGCTTTGTATAAAATGTGGTATAAGTTAGCCAGAAACATCCTCTCCCTTACAATGATAACTGAGCTTTCTATTTATAGTTGTTTCTAGGGAAGGAGGTCCTAGGATCGTGCCCTCGTTTAATGTCAATTATGAGGGTCATTGATGTAGGTGTAACGGTGAACATAAATACCAAATTCCTTCTAACGGGTCGTCACCCTTAATGCTGCAGAATATTCTTTATTAAATGTTACCGGACGCATTTACACTTTTATGATTGTTATTCTTTTCAGTGATAAGTGGAGTAAATGTAGTCGGTGTTTTAGTCACCCCATCTTGAATTCTAAGTGTCCTCCTTTTAGATGACCACATGTCATATCATATTTTTACCGATATAGTAGTTAGTGTTGAGGTTGACAAAGGATATTTGAAGTTCGCGTTCGCATTTTACTTTTAAATATGATGATTGAAATTTGTTAGTAATAATCTTGGTCCTATTTAATTTTCAAATAACTTTTTAATCAAATGCACTCCTTTTCTTTTTTTCATGAGAAAGTTTTGAATTTCTCCTTTCCTTTTCCCTAAATTCCAAATATTATTTCATCTTCCCATTAAAAAACAAGCGTTTGTTTCCGTAACACTTGTCAACTCCTGAGCTAAGCTTGCTGCCACTTCTCCACCTTCTTCCTTGTGCACTTCACACCTGGACTTGTTCCACAAAATCTGTCACTCACCTCCTTAAGCCACCCCAAGTAAAATGCCAAATCCCAAATGAAGAAATGCGACATTGGTAATACATACCATTTAGGTTAAATTTTCATTAGTATCAACAATTAGGCCGCTGATCTTTTCATTTCCATGGAGGAAAAAGATGAACTTAAGGGAAAGGCACAAGTGGAAGAAGAAGAATATATTGATGATGAAATCAAGAACAATTTACCAGTCCAAAACTCATCATCAATAAGTTGGTTCACAAAAATGATATCTTTACAAGTAGAGATCTTCACCACTATCTTAGCTTCTCTAGTTTCCCCCATTTTCTATATCCTCTCTTTTGTATCTGACTTCAATTTCCTCCGCCCTGAAGAAACTGAAAAGAACGTAGCTGTAGCTGTAAATGCTGCTGCTACAGTCCCTTCGAAAGTAGTACATGGAAGTACTTTGCTGCTCAAGAAATTTGGTGTTGGAATTCTTGGAGCTGCTTATGTTGGAATGGTTTTGACAACGTTGTTGATTGTGTCGGGGGTTTTGGGATTTGGGTTAGTGAGAATGTGGGCGGAAGAGCCTGTGGTATTGAGAGAGAAGCTGTATTTTGATTATGCAGATGTTCATCCTAAGGCTGTTTTTTCTTTTGCTGAATATGGTCTGGAGAATTATAACCATAATTTTATGATGATGAAGCAGAAGAAGAATTTTGGTGTGCCAGTTGGACATACAATGTATGTTTCTTTGTTTCTACTGATGCCTGAATCTGATTTCAACAGAGATATTGGTGTTTTCCAGGTATAATAATGAATGAACACTCATTCGATTTGTGAGTAGGATACAAACTTGATATTACTCAATAGCCTATCAAAAAAACATGTGTAGTTTCTTGATGATGAACCAAAGATAGTTCCAATTAGTGGCGGAGCCTGGATCTTTACCAAGGGGATTCGAAATATTAAAAAGTAAACACACGAACAAGCCAAGGGGATTCAACATATACTAGTATTTATGAATATTTTGACCTTATATATGCAGTATAATTCTTGGGCGAACATCCTAACTCCGCCCTTCCAATGTCTTGAGAGTCATTGGACTTCCATCATGAGGGGGAAAAAAATGATATTGAAGTCCATAAATGTTAATATGGTTAATGAATGATCATTTGTTGGTTATAGGGAGGAAATCAGGGATCAGTGTCACAGTTTGTATCATACCAACTGTTCTTTTCAATACTCTTCTATTAGGGGATGTGGAGTCAAAGTGAATTGGACGTTGTTAGGTACTTAATGCACATAAATTTTTTGGTTTTGGTTAGCTTTAGCCAAGTGAATTCAGTTAAGTTCTTGACAAGATTAAATTCCTCTTCTAGGGGCATGGATTAAGGTCGTATATGCGTAATTAAGTTAGTCCGCTGTTTATTATCTGTAGTATGCTTCAAATCTGTATTTTCATTGCATTAGATGTGGAAGTATCAATTGCCTGTCTCTCTAGCTAAAGAACAAAAGAGCTGTCGAACATCTGACATTACTTTAGGTATTCATAACTCTCTTATCAGTTGGTTGCAGAAGCGTTATCAGCCGAGGGGATTATAATGGCAAGATCAAGTCATCCATGTATGTTGCGATTCAGAAGCCTGCCAATCCGTCTCATGCGAGAATTTATTATGAGTGTGCCCCTAGTACTTGGACTTACAGCTGAAACACAAAGGATGATCATTCCAATGTTAAAGCACAAGGAAGGTACTCCGAGGACAGAGGCAATCAGAATAACTATGATACCTCGAGCTGGAACGTTAGCCCTGCCCCAGCTTTATCAATCGGAGATCATGTTGAAGTCTCAGCCTCCTTGGTATAAAGACTTGGCGTACAAGTGGAAATGGACATTCTCTGTCTGGACCTCTATGTACATGTACGTTACACTGCTCATAATTCTCCTCAACTGGTGCAGACCCCTCGTCTTTCCAGTGATCGCAACAAGCTTTAGGACACGCGTTGATGAGAGATTAACAGTGGAAGCATCGGAAGAGCCACAAGAGAAAGCTCGAGAAGAAAGTGATGTGTTGGAGTCAGTAAGAAGATGGCGGCAGAGCAGAAGAAAGAGGAAGGCAATGCTTCAACAGAGTGTCTCGGCAGAGTTCGCGGATGGTTCTGCGTCAAGCATTTCTGTGACTAGGGAGGATACAGCTGAGTCAAGCGAGTAATATGCCGGGAGTTGAAGATTTTTAGAAGTGAAACTCAAGGATAGACTGCTCTTTATAGCATTAGTTACAAGACAGAGTGCTGTTTAAGTAGTTGTTTAGGCTTTAGCATACATACCTTGATCTTGTTCTGTTCGACAGTCTAAGTTTTTCTTATAGATTTGAGTTTACAAGGTCAATTTTGGACTCAGTCAGGACTATTTTGCTGAACTAATTGTACAAGAGTTGCAAACGCTTACTTTACCTCTTGTAATTTACATGACTTAAAAACGTATACTCTTAAGCATTGTGCTTTTTCCTCAATATTTATTGGTACATAAGTATACGAAAGATCTCAAAATTTCTGTCGCTTTTAAAAACTGTCTTTCCGAGGGATGCGTTCTATACCTATAACATATTCGCTGAAAAGCTGAGAACACCAATTCCGTTTTAATATAAACTTGCAAGCACCAAACGATAAGCTATCTTATTGAGTTTCGACAGAAAGCCACAGCTATGTTACAAGGTACAATCAGTCAAAAAAATACCTCCTTCAAATTCTACAAAAGCAACAAACATAATGCAGACATATGCTTCAGAAAATCACAACTGAAGTTATTCGTTTGTAGGGACAGAACTACGATGGTACAACCAGATCGCAAGGCAGGTCCTTTTAAGTCAATTTGTGGATGGTTTTCATATCAATGACTTCCTCGAGAGTTCCCTTCTCAAGATGATCCCACCACTTGAACAAGAAGTTGTCAACGACAAGTCTGAACCAAGGGGATAGCTTCAGACCTCCCTCGCCAGCATCTGCTTTCCTCAAAAGCTCCTTCAGCTGTTCTCGGTTTACGTATTTAACATCAGCAACTTCATCCGGGTTTGGTTTCATGTTAACTTCACGTACTGTGAATAGAAGATAATCAACTGCAACAGTAGACAAGGATCAGCTACCAGTTATAGCTCTATCTACACATACAGATGCCAACTGTACAGTGAACACTTAACATCAAAACACAGTCAAAGTTGTGAATGAGATCAAAGGCAAGCGCCACGTGTCTGTTATAATAAAAATTGCAAGAAACAAACAGAACCAGTCTCCACGCTATAACTGTAAGATAAAAAGAGTAAAGATTGAGTTATTACGTTCATGTTCTCCCCATTTCCCATCAGATGGAGCTTTATAAAGTATACGACCCAATAGGGTGAACTGGTCAACTGGGACATCTTCAGCAGGAATGCCCAATTCGTCAAGAAGCTTCCTTTGTGCAGCATTTCTTACCCCTTGCAGTTGACAATAAAGAGTGAGGTGAAGAAGAAAATGTGATAATTAAACACTTCAGCTAAGCAGAAAAAATACCAAGAGCATTCTCCTCGATGAGCTCAGAGTCTCGGTAGAGTGGATGACTGCAGCAAGTGTTAGTCCATACCAAAGGAAAGGTCACCTTTGTTGCTGATCGTTGCTGTATATAGAATAAGACAATATATTAAGTGCTTCAATCTCGGAGTCATAAAATATGCATCAAATCTAAGAAACAACAACAACAACAACAACAACAACAACAACAGCAACCACAACAACAACAACAACAACAACAGCAACAAAAAAAAAAAGAAAAAAAAAACCGGTGTAATCCCATAAGTGGGGTCTGGGGAGGGTACTATGTACGCAGACCTTACCCCTACCTTGTAAAAATCATCAAATCTAAGATATATTAACGTAAAACAGTTCTAGATCTTAGTCAATTAGTTTGCTAGGTCATCTAAATACTAAGACGGAATCATACTGACACTCCTACCATTTAACCCTACAAAACAAAAGACATTCGACGAGTTACATCCACCAGCCATTTCAGAAACAATTTGTCAAACTTCAAAAGAAAAATATCAGCAAATTACTTTTACCAGCCATATCAATATATGGAGACAATACCATATAACACTAAGCAATACCCACTACTTTACTCTAAGAAATATGCCGTTACGAGCCATTTTGACAGCAACTCATTAACTTGACGAAAGTTGGAAGGAAAAGAATCAAAAGGAGGATTTCACAACCATTAACTGCTTTAGACTTTTATAATGCACATACCTGAAGAAGCAATTCATATTTTGAGTTAAATAGAAATACACTGAAAGCTCTATGCAGCAAATTTTCGGCTTCAATCTTTTCCATTAAATGACCTGCAATTATGGTTTTTTGGTTATAATATGAGACAACCGTTCGTAACAAATTCAAGATAATGCTCACTTGAAAAATGCATCTAACCAACAGAAAAGTATTATCAAAAAACTAAAGAAAACACAAAGACACAGTCTCAGATGCATCCAGAGAACAAATACAAAAGAAAGGAATTACAAGACTCCGTCCATCTAATTTCAACACAAAAGACATAAGATAATTCACAGCACATGAAACATGCCAAAAATCAATTGTCTAAGATGAGGGACAATACCATCACATATAATGACTTTATTCAAGATCCTAATCAAATAGAAGAGGTACTAGTAGTTTGTGGATTAAGGATTTTCAAGAAGATAATCATATTTTAATTGAACATCTTTTATTCTCTTGAATAAGTAATATTCACATAGGCATGTACTTGAAGCACTTCATTTTTTGCTGGGAAAGAAAATAAGAATACTTCTTTAATCAAACCTTATAGGATGCTTGGGTATCCAAGAACACTTTTTTTGAATAACCTTTGGTGTCCGGGCCAACTTGTATGCACCTCGACTAATTCCACAAGATACGTGCCCCGCCAGCAACATGTACTAAGTAACTCTATCCATCATCGCTGGGACAAATGGGAAGAAATCACCTAGTATTTTTGTCTTGACAAGCTTTTAAGCATATTTTTGACTTATTTTGCTGTTTAGTGAACACCAAAAGTGCTCCTAAGACAAATGCTATTCCACCAAAATAAGCCAAAAGCTAAAAGTTGTGGCTTTTCAACTTAAAAACTCATTTGGTTTGACCGAGTATTTTACTTTGTCATCCCTAACACCTTCAGCGTGGAGCTAGCGCTTTTGGTGTAGACAAGGGTATTTGTATAAAAGAACGTAAGGGACAACAAAGTAAAATACTCAATAAAACCTGAAGATCATTTAAGCTAAAGGGTCATAAGTTGGGGTGGCCCAACTAATGGATTTCGACTTTAAAGCACTTTTGTGTTTACCAAACACCAAAATAAGCCAAGAAGCTAAGTTGCTTGGACTCGGGTGCGGGTGTTCGATACGGATCTAGAGATCGGATCTTTCATGATCTAAATTTTAGGATTGGGGTTTACGGATCCAGGTACGGAAACGGGTGCGGGGATTCGGCTAAAAATAATTCAAATATCTAAAAATAGATTTATAAATATATGGCTAAATTATGATTCCACCATAGCTTTTGCTTTGATTTAAAAAATCACTATATCTATCTCGAATTCATCCGTCGATTTTGGTCAAAGTATCCAAAATCGATTGACCAAATCTAATACGAAACCCACACCCACACCCATGTCATGTCGACATGAGTGCGGCACTGAAAGTGAAGAGCCCGAGCAACTTAGCCAAGAAGTGCTTAAAAACTAGTTTGACCAACTTTTAAACTTACTCGAACATCCTCCTACTTCCTACTTCCTTTCCAAGTCACAAAGGGTTTCAGAACACTAAATTCAAGTTTGCATATTCCTCCACTAATTCTCTGCCAGACACTGGAAATGCCCCCATCCTTCTTCTTTTACTTCCCTACACCTCCTCCTTCCTTCACCTAATTGAGCACAATGTTAGCTGTCACATAGTTACATAGCCAAAATCAATCTGAAGCTCTCATTCTCTCTAACACACACATGAACAAAACCAAAACTATGAGGAAGATGCTTGAAAGGCAAATATATAAAATCGCTGTTTTTGTCAATACCCAACTCCAAATCCATGCCAGCTTTAATCCATGAAAAGACATGGATATTAATGGAAGAAACTATTTTTACAGTGAATTTTTGCCCCAGACTTATCAATATGTTTCTAACCAACTTATTATGCACTTTATTATAGGTGAGTCAAGTTATTGACGTACTTAATTTATACATTGAAACAGGTCATAGGTGCATAGCGACTAATATTAGCTATGATATTAAAATTTAATTCTTGCAAGTGAACTACCAACATGTGGGAGCATATTAACAACGATATGGTCAAATGGGACATAAAATTGCTCCACCCCTCTTGCTTTACGAACAACCATGAATAAACATTGGGGAATAAGCAAGATACTATAGTTCTTTAGGTCACTAGTTAGTAACTCCCCTAGTCCATAAGGTTCTTGGTAGATAGTCATAAGAGGTACTTCCAGAAGAAGAGTACCTGAATAGCCTAAGGGCGTAAGGTTTTAAACATCCTTTGTAAAGGGTATAATCATTTTTTTAATATGGAAAAAACATGTATGTAGGTAGATATGACAACATATTACGATAAAATATTAGCATGCCGTACTCTATCAGTAGTACTGACATCTCCAAGTTAATGGAAGACTTTGTGCATGAGGCACTAAAATAGAAAATGGTAGAAAAGCAAAAAGAGAAATGAGAAAATGGTTGGCGAGACAGACATAACAGAAGCATCACTTAGCTAACATTTCCTCTTTCTTGTCCTGGTTGAGAAATGAATTAAAAATGTTGCTCTCTAGTATTAACGGCTGAAAGCAAGATAGTTATCATCCTTTAAACCTTTGATGATACTGTCATTGTTTACTTGCCAGCAGTACCAAAAATCCACTCTCCTTCTGTATTGAAAATGTGAACAAAGCAAGCAAAGATTTACGTTTCCTCTTTTCCAGCATCTCAATTCCTCATTTTTCTCTCAGCTTAAGCAAGCATGAGGAATTTGGTTGCTCGCCTCTTCAGAAGCTAGAGTTGTGATCTCTTGGCTTCTCACTCCAATCAAATTTAGGACAGGAGTGCTAGCTGGAACATACAAGTGTTTCAGAGTTAAGAACTCAAAGCCTTGTCTTTGATTTTTCCATCTACCTCCTAATTATTTTTCCTTGGACATGCATTTTACATAAACATGGTAGTCCAAGTTTCTCTCCGTCATTGCTTCCATGTACAAATAATCTCCCTCCCCACCCTCTCTGTTTTTTTTTCCTCGAAAGGAATTCTCTTTATAAGTTTCCAAATCTCTACTTTGGTTGTTAAGTTTCTGGACGAACAGCCCACAATCAGTTAACAAAAAGTTTCAAGAGACGAGACCCACTAAATCTGATTGCCATTTTCTTGTAGCAATTGTATTATAGTGTTTGACGTGGAGAAGCTTTGACCTGGCTAATTTGGAGAAAGATTGATGCATTACGTGGATAATTGTTTAAGAAAATGCATTACTTGTTTCAACAAAACAGGCTTGCATTAGGTACCCACCATAGAATAAGCATGGACATTTCTGTCATCTTGTTGGGGAGATGATCGCATATGTTCTTGGATGGAAGAATGCAAGAACAGCAAATTTCTTTTTCCTTTTCTTTTGAAGGCAATATTGGAAAGATGAAAAGAAGCATGTAAGTTGATCTTACAAAACGATAGTGGAAGAAGTTCAAAATTTATGGTTTAGACTGAATCAAAGCAAGCGCATTCTAATTACGATGAGAGTGCTCCCTTGGAATCATAATTCTTACAGCTGCTTGGAAAAAAAGTTAAATTTCCAGCTAGGCCACCATAACAAGTTAAACCATATAAAATCCAGTTTATCAGATAGATAAAATTCAGAAGACACCCCAAGAATTATTTAACACTGCTCAACTAAGAAGTGCATCACCAGTATCAATTCAGGTAACATGCACCAAGACAACTAATGGAGAAAAACATCGTCCAAACACAAAATCAAGAGGAGGTCTCCACAAATATTAGCAGAATACAAAATCAACAAAAGATGTATTTCCAAAATAAGCAATTTGATACACACATAGTAGTATCTGCTTGTTATTTTTGGAAAGGAGAATGAAGCTGGTTGATCGGGAAGGTGCTATCACCTAGAGACAGAGGCGGATGCAGAGCGCCAGGTTCATCTGAACGATGCTTCATAAAAATCCACCAAAATTGCAACAAATAGCATATATGAACCAATTATTTTAAACATGAAATGAGTTTAATGCTAAGAATCAACCCTCGAGCTTAAATCCTGAATCCGCCTCTGCCTAGAGACCAAAGAGAATAACAATCCCACACTTAAAGGTAACAAAACATCGAAAGCTGTCTCGCAAGTTCTCTCTCTAATACAAATCTATTATTTTCCATCATCGGACTCCCTTGAATAACATTGAGGTAGATAGTATTGCATTAAGGTCAAACCACAGAACCATCGAAGCATCAAAATGAACTATAGCAATACACTAGTAGAAGATATGCAGATGAGGACATTTAGAAAGAGGCAGGACAAACTTACAATTATACTTGGTGTCATGACCAACAACACGGTCATTCTCATCCACCAGAATACACCTGAAAGAGTCAAAACGTGGAAAAGGTGTTAAACTTAGCAAAAGGGGCTGGAAAATTGTTGCACCACTAAGTAGTTAGATGCAGATTTGAAAAGCATTTGCTAGAAAGCAGATAAAAGAAGTGCTTCTAAATAATTTCTTCAAACACCTGGTGGTAAAAATTCTAGAAAACATGTAATTTAGCAACTATAACAAGATTATCCAGAATTTCATATCCCAAGGTTTAGATATAATAAATATAAAAAAAGACACTTACAACATTCACCTAATTCTGTAACTTACAAAATTAATGTTTTAATTTTATCTTTCAATAACAGGAGGACCTTAGAAATGATCTTCCATAATTTGGAAAAATAGTATATTGATTAGAAGAATATTAACATCACGTTGAAATTGAAAGGAGGGGATAGAGAAAAGAGAACAGACTCGTCTTCAAACATGAGACGGCGCTGAACAGCGTCCATGTTAGCATCAGCAATGGCGTCACCCATTCTTGTAGCACAATAGCAGCGGAGAGAGGCAGCTCTTCTATGGCTTTTAAGAAGAGGGGATTTGGATACGGATACCAGTGAGAGGGATGAACGACAAGTTATAGGGGAGGCTGCGATGAACCTCCGCCAGATTTGAAAAGAAGGCGTAGTTGTCAGCGACATCTGGGACTTCTCCCCATCAACTGCTTGATTCCTCTCCTCTTCTTCTGCTTTTCCCCTTATATTTTATTTCATTTTAATTCCCTCTCTTGGATTTTCCTCACTATCTCAAGGGGAAAAAAATAAAAAATAAAAAATCAATTCCTACCTAATTCTTTAAGTGGGTGTTTGGACATAAAAATTAAAAAAAAATCGGAAAAAAGTAAAAGAAAATTCAAGTGAAAATAGTATTTAAAATTAAAGTTATGTTTGGACATGAATATAAAATTAAAGTGTTAACTTGTCTGGACTCTGGCTTTACAACAATATCTTTCTTGTTCTTTTCGATCAGTCAAATAAGCTTTTAAGAAATCATTTTTCACATGAGAAATTGATTCCCTTCTTTCTTTCTTTTACTAGGGAGATGATTCCCAACAACTCCCTTTCGCATTATTAAGCTGTATTTCGATCGTTTAGTAAAGTGTAGAATCCAAAAATATTTATATATATCACCAACATAAAAATGATTTTATGATTTTACACTATCACTTCTATCCAAAGATGATTTAATAGCGTAGAAATTTTTCACATATGTAAATTAAATTACTTTTTAGTTATAATAGTAGACATTAGAAAGTTACTGATCATGCCCAACTCTAGTCCTAAAAAGGATAAGCGGTCGCTAGCAAATATAATCCGGTCTAAAAGTCCGGAGTCGAATCCCACAGAGAACTAAGGCTTAGCTGTATCTGTTTAATATCACTAAGAAGACAAGATTGAACAATTTTCTAAATTATAAAGAATGAGATTTATATTTCTAACTAATTAACTAGCAAATACTACAAAGCGGTAAAATTTTCAACTAACGAGACAAAGGGTTGGAGACTAAATTAAGGAGATCTAGAGTTATAATTTCCCCAATTGTCGGAATCCTTACAGCTATGTTCCGTACAATTTCGCCGATGTATTCTCTACTGATCGTGAGCTCTTTAGGTGTCGTAATTCTCTCTCGAGCAACTACAACAATTTACTAGACATATTCTCTCGAATTACGCTAGTTAGCTTTATCTAACCGCTCATTATGACCACGTCAAGGCTTTGTTATTTGTAAACCTACCTTTAAACCCAATGTATTGATTTCTCACATACGTAAGGAGTGACGTTGTTCAACAACCACCTAAATATGTATCATTTCTCAAGCAACACATAATAAATAGGTACAGTCAATCGATGGCCATTCAATCAACAACAATAAACACGTAGTTGAACAAGTAGAGAAATCCAACGGCTCAATTATATAAAAACATAACAAGAATTTATCCTACAAAAAGTTCCATCAAAACCCTAGAAAACGAATTAGCTATTCATAATAATATGTAAAACTACAATACTAAAAGTCATACCCAACAATAAAAGATAGGAAGAGGAAGGAAAAACTCGTTGAAGAAATCCCCGCCTTGCTCCTATTGTGTCTCAAAATTTGATCAAAAGTGTGTCCAACCTCTAAAAATACCGTTTTTCCATGTATATATACCAAGTAGGGTCGGGCCCAAACAATTATACCTTCTCCTATGCGAAAAAGGACAATTTTTTCAGGTCTGGACTCCGCGGTCGCGGTCCGGGCGCGGTACGACCGCGGTATATGGCAAGTATACTGCCTCAGCCCGTCTCAGGTCCGCGGTCGCAGTTTCGACCGGGTTTTTCACCCTGTTACGTTTGGAATTTGGAAAAACATAAAACATGAAAGTTGTATCCCTTTGAGTTAACTTTCCAACCATATATTGTGGAGCCCAAATAGAGTTCCGAGCAAAAAGTTATGTGCATTTTACTAGACAGTGCAATATGCCTACTCGGTTCTTCGTTTTGTTGTTCTATCATCCGTTGATCCCCGAATACGATCCCGGCTTAATTCCTTGGGCGTTTACTCAGACTTCAAAGCTCCAAGTCACTTGAATTTATTCCATAACATTTATATAGCTCGGAATCAATCCTACAAGGCATAAAACACACCGTTAGTGCAAAACACTAGCGATTAAAGCTCAAACTCAATTAAAGTGCAGTAAATTTAAGTGTAATAATCGACTAAAATACGTAATTATAGCCTATCATCAGTTACATCACAGACAAATAACACATAGGGATAGGGCTACTGCAAAATTTCGTAAGTTGATTTAATATTCACTTTTAAGAGTGCACCAAAATTTAAGGTTGCTCTTATGTGCAAATTCGGGTCAAATTATTGGGACCTTTTCACAATGCTTCAGTCTACATAAGAAATATATGTAACGTATTTCAAGAAAATAGACAGTAGCCCGCTTGGCCAAGCTGTAAAAATCAGCTTATTTTGAGAAGTACTTTTTTTCAAAAGTGTTTTTCAGTACTTTTTTTCAAAAGTGCTTTTCTCAAAAGTACTTTTGGTGAGAAGCAGTTTGTGTTTGGCTAATTAGTTTGAAAAGCACTTCTGAGCAGCAATTAGTGTTTGGCCAAGCTTTAAAAAACTGTTTTTAAGTGTATTTTTCTCAAAAGTGCTTCTCAAAAAAGTGCTTTTGGAGAGAAACTACTTTTTTCTGTTTCTCCAAAACTGCTTCTGCTTCTCCTCAAAAGCACTTTTTTTCCTTCCAAAAGCTTGGCCAAACACCTCAATTTTTGGCCAAAAGTACTTTTGACAAAAAAAAAAAGTACTTTTGGCCAAAAAAAAAAAACTTGGCCAAACGGACTATTAGTACCACTTTAAAATCAAATTATTCGGAATCCATAATAAATTAGTCATACGTATAGAAATATTTCTTGCTTTTACTGCTGACATTTGTTTAATTTTTCCTTTTGTCATTGCTACTCTTAGCAATTATCCGAAAACAAGAAGTTGAACGATGTTTTTCATTTTTCTATGAGGATAACGCTGTAATTCGAAATGATCAAAGAGTAAAAGGAAATTTTTTGCACCAAATATACTAGAATTTTTTCAGTATTATTTCTTTAAAATAGAAATAAAAGAATTTATTGTCGCAGTAGAAAACGATCTAACCTACCACCAGAGGAGATATGGTGGAATGGTAAAAGTTACTCTACTCTCGGTCATAGTCTCACATTTATTTTTGAGATTTTTTTTTCCTATACCATATATGAAATTTTATTACTAAAAAATGTGCACAGTTTCTAATTTACCCGCCCTGTCCACATTTTTCCTACAATTATTATACCATTCATTAAATACTAATTATTAGTAGTTGAATCTTCCTAATTAGGCGTGCTAAAATTCAGGAACAGAATCTTCTAATTGATTTAGCCACAAATCAAATCTGTTCAAAAGCTCAATTCTTCAAAATCAAATCTGTTCAAAAGCTCAGATCTGTTCTTCGATATTTTCGCTTAAGACACAAATCAAAAGCTCAGTTCATCGAAATCAGAAGCTCAATTTCAAATTGTAGAAATCAGTTCTGGAAAAGCTCTGTTCGTCGACATTCTCTCTACATCTCTCTATTTCTCAATCGCAAATTTCAGTAATACAAAGCAAATGAAAAGAGAGCAGCAATTCCACCATTGACAGGCATTAAAAAGCTTGAAAGCTTTGAATTCAAATTTGGGTTTTCAAAAATCATTATTTGTTTGGATTGGGTATTGTTGAAAATAATCGGGAATATGGTTTGGAGTTTATATCTCAATTTTGAGGGGTTTTGGTGAAGATTAGGCTTGGTTTTGACTGAATTTCAGATTGAAACTCGTCGAAGAAGAAGAAGAAGAAGAAGAAGAAGAAGAAGAAGAAGAAGAAGAGGACATATTGCAGAAATTGTAGATAAATTGTAGATTATTTGTATTCTCATTGTAGATGCTTTATTTTCTGTTTTCACAAATAAAAAACGGCTAAAACTTCTACAAATCTTCTGAAAAAATGCAATTATGTCAAAAATCTCAATTATGCTACAATTGAATGGGAATTGAGATATAAAAATTCAGTGTACCCAGTTTGTAGATATTTTGTAAATAAATTGTAGATTATTTGTATTCTGATTATAGATTTTTGTTTTCTGTTTTCACAAATCAAAAACGACTAAAACTTTTACAAATCTTCTGCAAAAAACGCAATTATGTCGAAAATTCCAATTAAACTACAACCGAATGGGAATTAGGATATTAAAATTCAATATACCCAGTTTGTAGATAATTTATAGATGAATTGTAGATTATTTGTATTCTGATTGTAGATGCATTGTTTTCTGTTTTCACAAATCTAAAACGACTAAAACTTCTACAAAATCTTCTGCAAAAAACGCAATTATGTCAAAAATACCAATTAAGCTACAATTGAATGGGAATTGAGATATTAAAATTCAATGTACCCAGTTTGTAGATAAATTGTAAATTATTTGTATTCTGATTGTAGATGCTTTGTTTTCTGTTTTCACAAATCAAAAACCACTAAAACTCAATATAATGTCTAAGTACTGTGAGAATCAAGGCTCAAATTGAAAATGTGACCAGAGTGAAGCACTAAGTTACTTACGTTTCTGTTTTGAATAGGAAGGCAGCATTCTAGACAGCTTGAAATCTTGCCAACTAGATTAATCCGTCATAGAATATAATAATAATAATAATAATAATAATAATAATAATAATAATAATAATAACAACAATAATAATAATAATATATTCTCCTTCTACAAACAAATAAAATATGAAGCATAGTGGAAGACACCTTTCTTGTTTTCTTCCATTAAGTACATTATCGCAATGTTTTAGTCATGAAACCTACTGCTTCTCTTTTACTAACTTATTAACTAGTGGTAAGTTTAATGAATCAAAGCACTATTAAATATTAACTGAATCTGCTAATCTGTAATTGGGATAAACACAATGTAATCATGTCTAGTCAATAAAAAAAAGGCACATTGTGATATACGGTACCTTGAATTAAGGAGGGATATATGCTGCATTAATTATACCCTTAAAATACATTATGGTATAGAATTAATAATTTGGTATACTAAATGTAATTATATCAAACCTTAAACATTGAGGGTAATAAGGTTTCCTATAGTTCCTATATGGTATAGGAATGTAAAAATTCCTTTATTTTATATATAATGGCGTT